TATCCAAGTCTAGTCTGGTCTGGTCTGGTCTGGTCTGTTTAAGTCTGGTCTGGTCTGATCTGGTCTGGTCTGGTCTGGGACTGAAAACAGTCCAAAAGAAAACATCCTTAACCTCACATAACGCTCGAGAACCTAGAAACACCTCAAATTGAAGATCGAACCTTCGAAACGGGAGGTTTTGGAGGTTAAGTTCCCGTTAAACATAAAATAAGGTAGAGTACTTTCATCCAAACAATATTTATTACATTAACTTAGGTTCACCGTTCACCTATTTATTTTCAAACACGATTTTACGCATGAATCTGGGTTCACTTAGGTTAACCTAACTTTTACTAGTATTAAAAATTAGATTTACCTTATTGCACTAGGTTTATTTAAATTTACTTTATCCAAATAGAGCATAAAAGTCATGCCAATCATTTTTTACAAGCTTAAAATATACGGAGTAGTGGGAAAAAATAACAACGGAACCATTTAATCGAAAATGAGAAGAAACATAACCTTTCTTTAGTTGCTAGTTAAACCGTACAGTCTCATTCGCTAGGGTGTCTAGTGTTATAGGATGATGTATGGACTGATGAATTCCTATTATAAGGCAAATAAGCAAGATTCCGACATAAATTTTCTAATGATATGTTTGGTTATTCAAAATGAGTTTCAAAGGAATGAGAAATGGAATTCATACGTACCCCCAACTCCCAAGGCCCCAAGCCGAGTAGGACTGAAAGTAGGATTAAGATCCTCTTCCGCTCGGTAGAGATGCCTTGCGGCAACAAACGAGTGGATGAGAAAGAAAGTGTCTCCAAATGTGGCCCTCCAAAATCTACCGCTATTGGTATTTTGATTAGACGGTCTTAATAAGCCGGTCACCCTACTTTGCTGCAAAGTAAGGCAGAAATTCTAAAAATATCTTTAAATGCAACAATATAACTATTATCATTTTACTCCCAAAATAGAAATAATATACTCCGTATACCACGGCTTCCTATTCTGCCGCATTCATAATTTTTTATAATAAAAAAATAAAAGATAATAAAAAATATATAAATTAATAATAATAACGAGGAAAAGTAAAATATTTACAAACCTAAAAAGGTCTAAAATAAATAAAATAAAATAAAATGCCTAATAAATGTGTACGCCACTACCACCGCATCATCCACCTCCCCAAACCACCAACTCTGATCGCCAAAAAATGACATCTTATGTACAAAATGCCACATTCCTCATGAAAAGATTTTTTATTTTTTGAAAATATATATCTTTCTTTTCAAAATTGCCATCACGAAGACACTTTTCAACTTGACATTCTTTTTTGTGACCGGAGGTGGCGGTGATGGAAGGTGGCTAGGGTGATGGTTGAGGCCTATATGTATTTTTATTTACTTTTTACATTTTTTTATTTTAATTTTTCTATATTTTATTATTATTATTTAAAAAATCCTATTAAGAGTGACAAGGGAAGGGGTAGAATAAGAAGAGTTAGTCATATTTTGAAAATTTAAACTTTAAACTCCTATTGCAACAATTTTGCTTTTATTTAATCCTGTTTAGAGAAATCTCCCTAATATTTTCCAACTACTTGAACCACGGCCAAATTACCAAATTGGTAAAAAAAAACAAGATTGTTTGACAAATTGGTAAAAAAAACAATTTGAGACATATTGGTATAAAAAAGAAGCCCTAATGACAAATTGGTCAATTTTTTGTGAGTAGTAAACTTTTGATACTCAAGTTTAGAATTTCTGACTTTTCATATTCTAAATAATGTGAAATTGACATTTGTAATCCTTTTACCTTGATTTTGTCATCAAAAGTGGAGCTCTAAAAATTTTAAAGACTGTGTTTGATAATAATAGTTGTTTGCTAGCTCATCATAGCTGGTTAACTCAACAGATTGATATTAGCAGATTCCGTTAGCGTTTTTAACTAACCTCTTTCATTAGAGGTTTGAAATAAAATGTTAGTAACTTAAAATTTACAATTAATTTACATATATAAATTAATTTTGCTTCTTCTTATTTTTAAGAAGTTTTGGAAAAAAAATTAAAAATCATTTTTATGTTTATTTTAAATAATTACAAACACTATCGTTTCTAAGATATGTACATTAATGCGAGTACATGCATATAAATTCATACTCCCTCCGTCCCTGAAACAACTTTCCACTTTCCTTATTTGGATGTCCCTAATTTAACTTCTCATTTCTTTAAATGGCAAGTTATCTACATCAAAACAGTTCAAAACAGTGTCAAATAGTGGCAAACAGTGTCGAAACAGTAAAATTTACCCTCTGGTAAGTTTATTTTCTTAATATGTGTAGGTTAAACCGGTAAGTTGTTTCGGGGACGGAGGGAGTATATTTTTAGTATTAATATTTTAAATATGATTTTTTATTAGTTTTTTTTTAATCTACTCCAAAATTCTACTCCATATGACTATTTATTAGTTTTTTTAAATCTAATCCATGGTTATTTAAAATAAATGTAAATATATTTTTTAAAACTTTTTCAAAGACTTATTAAAAATAAAAGAAATTATTGAGGTTTATTCCTTCAAGCTTTTGGTCCAACACGTAAGTCCAAAGATCTCGAGTGGATATTTTATGTATGTGTGAGTCTCTGATCTAAGCAAGTAAGATGGGCTAAGAAATGATAAGCAAGTAAAATGACCGGATATTATTAATATCTAATAAACCATCGGTACAATACACTTGCTAAGGCCGGAGGTCATTCGTCTTACACCTCAGTAGAAAAGTTGCGAGTAATAAGATAAGAAGCTAGAGTGCTAAGGCAGAAGCTAAAGTTGGCTATACTGATGTGGAGGGTTGTGAATGGCTGATGCCTCAACCACCAAATCCCCAGCATTAAATGTGATTCCCGCCAGAATCTTGGTTTCCCGCCCACTCGTGGAGACGAGCGTCCCCTTGATGCTGTATCTTGCCCCTGGTGATACTGCAAAGGGTTGTGGGTTGTACGTAGTCTGGCCCTTGATGGAATATGTTGCTTGAATCCTGGGCTCCGGCTTCCCAGACTGATGGCTACACTAGTCGCCCCTCCTTTGGCCTTGGATGCGTAACTGCTTGGGTTGGGGAGACGTTTGTCTTTCCCTGCTGAGGCTTGTTGGGCCTAGACGTTCGTCCGTAAAAGGGGTTATCTGGACCGATCCTCCAATTGGACCATTAACCAAACAAAAATAAAGTTAAGATAAATATATATACCCCCCCCCCCCCCCCCCCCCGTATACATTTAAATTTATATCTTTAATGGTTACTCTACGTCTTAACATCTAATTGCAAACAAGTAAGTTACTAACATTTTATTTCAAACACTAAAGAAAACGGTTAGTTATAAAAGCTAATGGAATCCGCTATTATCAATATGTTGATTCAACCAGCTATTAGCTAGCAGACAACTACTATTATCAAACACAGTCATTGACATTTTTAGACATCCATTTTTTATGACAAAATCAAAATAAAAAACTGAAAATGTCAATTTCACAGTACTTAGAATATGAAATGTTGAAAATTCTAAAGTCGAGGATGAAAAGTTTATCACTCACAAAAAATTGATCAATTTCTCACTAGGGCTTCTTTTTTACCAATATGTCTCAAGTGGTGTTTTTTAGGGGTGGGATTTTGGAACCGGGAACTGTAGAACCGATTGGAACCGAACCGTTATAACCCGGTTCGGTGCCTACAAATAAGGTATTAGTTGTTAACGGAACTGTGAACCGATTGGAACCGAACCGTTATAACCCGGTTATCACCCGTTAAGGAACCGTTATTAAAAAATTAAAAAAAAATAGTATTAGTAGCAGTAATAATAATATAATAACAATCACAACCACCACAACAATAATAATACAATACATATTTAACTAACAAATTAATTTTCCTTCAAAAAAAAACTAACAATTCTAATTTAATCAACGAACACAGAAGTAATAATATTGCACATGAGTTGATATAATACATTAAACTCATTTATACAACTCAAGTTTTGTTCCATCACATAAATTTTATAAATATAAAATAACCCAAATAAGTTGTAGTTGATTGCACATATTTTACTTTACTATTTTCATAATATTTCTAATTATTAGACTTATTATAAATCATGGTACGAGCAAGTAGAATGTAATGGTTTTTTATATCTATACATGTGAACTCAGTGTATTTTTTTATGTTTTGAAAGACTAAAAGTAGGCATCCTTTATCTACTACTATGATGATGACTTCATGTTTTATTTATTACATGAAAAATTAAATCATTGTTTGTTTTATTAATTGTTCACAGTTCACTGCTAGTTAAGTTTGAGTTTTGATGTTTCAGTTCAAATAAAATTTTAATGCCCGTATTTTTTATTTTCGACTTGTTTATGTTGTAGAAAGTAAATTATGTGTTAATTGACTTATTTCTTGGATGAGAAAGAATTATTCTAGGAACCGGTAAAAAGAAGGAATCGAACAGTTTAGTAATGGTTCGGTTCCATAGCGGTTCTTGATTTTTTAAATAGGAACCGAACCGATTTCATTAGTTAAAATTTTTGTAATGGTTCCACTCATTTTGAGTAAGAACCGAATCGGTTTCAACCCTAGTTTTTTTTTACCAATCTGTCAAATGACCCCTTTTTTGTTTTACCGATTTGGTAATTTGACCCCTGAACCACGCACCCGCAAGAGACAATATTAACCAACTGATGGAATATTGAGTGGAGAACTAACATAATAAGTATAATAAACTTTAAGATCGATAGATGTCTGGTTTGTGGTTTCTGTATATTTACAACTGTCGAAGTCATATAGTATGATACTACTATGATCTAAGACTAAAATAAGTCCAAGTAAAAACATCCTAAGAAAACAAGGAACTCGTGCAATGTAAAAATTAGATATTTTTTTAACACATTTTAAATAAAATGTTAACAACCTATCAACCTAATAATATCAATTTGATAAACTGAACTATAAAATTAACAACTAATAACTTAACAATATAAATTTGATAATTTGTTAAGTTCAATTATAAATTATCCAAACCTAATAGATACTTAATTCACAAACGAATCAAACTAAAAGCCTAAGAATAACATAATAGCCACAATTTATACGAGTAAATGTCAAACGGATGGAATTTTGAAACTTATTTGTTGCTTATCAGATGGAGTATATGAACTCATTAATTACAATTGAGTATATGGGCTATTGTATTAACTTTTTGGGCCTTCAATTTTCATGGGCCATGTGTGGTTGAGTTCCTTGCACCTGCTCTGAACCGGCCCTGCCGGGGCCCGTAATGCGATAATGCCATAGGGCCCTATCTCCCTGAGCTGAGCAAAGGAGAGCAAGTAAATGAAAATGTGAAATAAAAGATCAAAAAATCAAAATATCATAGAGCAACATGATAACAGATACTAGTATCATAGAACACACATACTAAAAAGAGAAATAATGTGTCAATATTTAATTTTAAAGTATGAATAGGTTAACACAAACTTTGTGGGTTGGACAAGAAAAGGACCGGACAATTACATTGGGACACAGATGGAGTAATATCTCTCAACTCCAGAAACTTATTAGTACGAAAGACTAATACTACCAATATCAACTATAGGTTGAGAGAGAATTAACAGCATTCATGAAGGCACTTATCTGCAACTTATCCTTTTGGATGCCATCCGGAGCACAAATTCCGCTGCTTACATCAACTCCATGTGGGTTAAGAGTAGAGAGTGCTTCGCATACATTTCCCGGGTAAACCCCTCCCGCCAAAAGCCACCCACATTTACTTCTGATGGGAGGTAGCTTAAATACTATCCAGTTGAATCCTTTACCACTGCAGAGTTAATATCTTACCCATATTAGAAAAGGCTAAAGGGTCAAATAGGCCATCGAACTAATTTAAAAAGTGCAATTCACCCCTTATATAGGAGGTTCTGTCCGGCCGTCGCCAATTGGGACGATTCCCGATGGAATTTTTTGATGAAATTTTTTGAGCATCTTCTTCATTAAATCTAGTTTACCCATACCAAATTTGAGATAAAAATTCAACCGGGAAGACATTTAAATGATTTTCTGAAATGTACTGCGCTGTTTAACTACGCAGTTATCTTCACAAATTCATTTGACTGCCTTCCAAATTGAATTTGGTATGAGTAAACTAGGCCTAATGAATAAGATGCTCAAATTATTTCATCAAAAAATTCCACCGAGAACCGCCCCAATTGGAGACGGCCGGGCAGAGCCTCCTATATAAGGGGTGAATTGCATAAAATGCAATGAATTACTGCATATTTTCCTACAGGAAAATGTTGTCACCTGCTCCCTCAAACAAGAAAACTGGAAAATATTTTCAAGATATATTCCTTCAATCAACAACGACCTTAAAGTTATTGCCTGTTTCCATTCTTTATAAGGTGTAAGAAATTAAAGTTGAGAGAGTAATGTATTAAGCATCAAACTTGCAAGCTTAAAAGAAGCCAAGAAGGATGTACCTGCCACCTCTAGCACTATCAACTAGAACCCAATCAACCAAAGAGGACTCTTCATCAGGAATAGTGTTCAAAAGTTCTCCATCTTCACTCACGTGAAGAACATATATTACTTTCTTTTCCTTCACCAGAATTGGCAAAGCATCTCGTGAACCATTCCCATGAAGCTGCACTATTTTAGCGAGTTATTTGATGAAGTGATGAAGAACAATAAACGTCTCTTACATATTTGGTCAAATTTTCAAATTATGTTTCATTTCTACTAATCAAGATAACTAAATATATGTACATACAAATAATTTAAAATTAATCGCATTTCATTTTCCTTTGCATTTTCCAAGGTAAAAGAACTCAAGAAATTAACTTTCCTTCACATTTTTCGTTTCTAAGATTTATTTACTTAAGGGTTGTTTGCATCCTGGAAAATACTAAGGAAAGACGTTACAAAGAAAAAATATGAAGGACAAAATACTGGGAAACTGGGAAAGTAAAAAAATGAAATAAATCTCAATAAATGTATTTCAAATATTTGTTGATGCTCATTTAATATATTTACTGTAAAAGATTAAGAAATATATATATCTAAGCTAAAAACAGTCATATTTCATTTTCCTTTGTATTCCAAATATAAATCCAAGCATAAGAAAATAACTTTGATTTTTCCCTTTCGAAAGACTAATTTATCTGAACCAATCAAAACACACCCCAAGTAATTACAGAAGCAGGGGGATTCATGTCCAAGATAAATTTACCTGAACCAATTCAATATCTGCTGCATCAGACGCTTTCAGTATGGTATCGGCATCATCGTCAACAAACACCCCAACAGGCCTTGCTCCATATTCCCTAGCGACTTTAGAGATTTGCTTTGCAACAGTGAGTGAAACAGAACGCTTTGAGTTAGGCCATATAACCATGCCTATATAATCTGCACCAGCTTCTGCTGCCAAAGCAGCATCTCTAGCTGATGTGATTCCACACATTTTGACTACATGTTTTCTTTCGTGTGGGCCCTTGTGAGCACATGCCACTTTGGTTGTTTGCTTCAATATGCATTTTCTGCCTCGTGTGGAGGTTTTAATGCTGATGAAATGTGGTCCTCTACTTGATAGATCTACATAATGAATAAAAGTGGAAGGGATTGGATATGTTTTTTCCATGCAAAGATAGCTTGTTTTGTTTTTGTCCTAGCAAAATTAGAACTTTTTTGTAATTCATCCTTGTAATTTACAGCATTTTCGCTTTACACATTCTCCATCAACCTCCATTTGGAGGGATGAATAACAAAAAAAACAACTCTTGGAAGACCTAAAAAATAGCAAACAAAATCATTTTCATGGAGAACAACCGATGCATTTTAAGCCGGTGGAAAAGAGATACCAGTAGTTTACGCCACATGCACACGCTCAATGATTGACAAGTTCGAAATACAGACCAAAATGATGAATTTTAAATTTTCCTCCAACCGATTTCTCAAAATTATATAACCCATAAGGCCATAAGTTGGGATGAAAATTGCCAAAATGGAGAACTATACACTAACCAAAATGGCAGGAAAAGGGAACAAATGCAAAGGAAAATTCTTGTGTTCAGCATAACCTTTGAAAATACAAAGAAAAATCAAATTTGATAAAATCTTTTTGATATTTTATAGGAGTACATATTTATATTTCTAGTGTCTATATAAATTACTCCCTTGAGCTTGATCAAGTATATATACATAAATTACCTATTGAGTTAAAACAGATTTCTTATTTTCTGCCAAATCTCCCCTTTATTTTGCTTCATCTTTCTCTCCCTAGCATTTTTTGTTCCAAACAGACCATCAACAAAGAAAACAAATTAAACCCAGTTACTCCTCTGAGTTCTGAATTTCTGATGGGATTACTCAACTTGCCCTTACCTCTAGTACGCAAGTCTTTTGTATTGCCTTTGAGCAGAAACCCCACTTTTGGCCCTGAAAACCAAATTCACAGTCTAAATAGGAATTGTATTTGCAAATTGCAAGTAAAAGAAAGCCAATACATGCCAAAGTCCAAGTGGAAACTTGAAAAACAATTACAATGCATTCTAGCCTATTTGCCTCTGCTCTAAAGCTATGCTCCCTCCTCCTTTAAAGAAATCACTGTTTTCCTTGTTTTGATGCCCCCTAAATAATGTTCTTTTTCCTTATTTAGCAAACAAATTCCTTTCAATTTACTTGACTACAGACTACCCTTAAGTAATAATGACTACAACGTCAAACCATGTCAAAACAATGTACTCAACTATAATCTTTAACCTAAGAAGAAAGGCATTTTAGGAAGTTACAAAGCATTTAGCTTACTAGTTACTGTGAGTTATTCAAGCAAGAAAGTTTTTAGAAGGATGGATGTAGTATACAATACATGACCTCTGATCTATACTACTTTCACCATAAGTCCATAATTTATTTATTATTCGTAATTCAAATAATCATATCACGTGTTTAAGTTCAAAATAACATTTTCTATAATTTAAAATTAAATTAAAAAAGGGGGAATTTGACTTTGCACCCCAAATTTTGGTTGATATTGGACTTTGCACCCCATTTTGAAAAAACTTTGATTTTGCACCCCATTCCACTTAAAATTCATTTGACTTTGCACCCCACTTTGAAATTTTTCTTCACAAAATGGTATGTGTTGGGGTGCAAAGTCTAAGTTTTTTGAAAATGAGGTGCAAAGTCCAATATCACTCAAAAAATGGGGTGCAAAGTCAAATTCACCTTAAAAATTATTGGTCAAAATCGCATAAATATATCTCAAGTGGAAAGGGGTTGGTTCCAGTACAAATAGGGCTTCCCATACAAAATACTCACAGAGCTTTTTTATTTGTTCTTGATGCCCCTTTAAGAGTAAAGGGAGGCATTCGAGACTGGCAGAAAAAAAAATTATTTACCAAAAAGTCACCACAGTTTAACCAAGATAGAGTTTTTATTTAACAGAAAGTCAGAAAACATTCCAAAGCACACACATATCCAAATAATAACGAAGTAGAAAGAGTATACCAACCACAAACACATAACATCTCCTTCCTCCAGAGTTCGAAATTATTCTCTTTCACAGTGCAAAGGTAAAGTAATACTCAGTAATATGACTGCTATTCCTGTACGTGGAAAAGAACTCAATTTAAAACGTGATTGTTAGCATAATTATCATTATGTGTACAAGTGGATAGTGAAATGGTATAATAATCTGGTAAATTAGGAAAAGAAGTATAAAAGAGAGTACCTGCAATTGCCGCCTCTTCGTGCATCGATCATTCAGGGATGCATTTCCCCATTAGATTTCTAGCCACCACTCCGCCTAGAGCCTCTGTGGCGGCGCCAACCATCAAATATCCCGTAGCTCAGCTGAATAAAATCCAACACAAGCCAGCAAGTTGAATACAAATTAGCTTTGTTTCACCATTAGCTAAATATAAACAAAAATTACTTTTGTACACGTTTTTGTACCCATCAGTACACGCATGTGTCTGTGAGAGTTTTTTTGTCTGTGAAGTGCGGTCCACAGACAAAAGCTGGTTTGTTTTGTCTGAAATTTTCCACAGACAAAACAAGCGAACTTATGTCTGTGGACCGCACTTCACAGACAAAAAAAAACTCTCACAGACACATGCGTGTACTGATGGGTACAAAAACGTGTACATCAAGAATGGTTGAAATATAAAATGAGACTTCTTCACTGAGTTCACTTCTGTTTGAGCTAAATATAAAATGACCTTTGATTTAGATAAAATGTTTAATCAAATTGATAGTGTTTGGGAAAAAATTGATTTTGAAAAGTAAAAGTTAGTAATGTTTGGTATAATATATGTTTTTTGTGTAATAGATAAAGTAAAAAACAGTTTTTAGTTTTTAAGTATTTAATTTAAGATGGCTAAAGGGTCAAATAGGTACATGAACTAACTTAAAATGTTCAATTAGCACCTTATATAGGAGGTTCTGTCCGGCCATCGTCAATTGGGGCGGTTCCTGGTGGAATTTCTTGATGAAATTTTTTGAGCATCTTCTTCATTAAGTCTAGTTTACCCATACCGAATTTCAGCTAAAAATTCAACAGGGAAGTCAGTCAAATGATTTTTTGAAGATAACTGTGCAGTTAAACAATGCAATACATTTCGGAAAAACATTTTACTGCATTCCCGATTTAATTTTTAGCTGAAATTTGATATGGGTAAACTAGACGTAATGAAGAAGATGCTCAAAAAATTTCATCAACAATTTTAACCGGGAACCGCCCCAATTGGCGACGGCCGGGCAGAACCTCCTATATAAGGGGCTAATTGAACACTTTAAGTTAGTTCATATACCTATTTAATCCTTTAGCCATTTAAGATAAAAGTTGAAATTTACTTTTTTAATTGTTTGTAAACATACCCTAAATATACTCATACCAGGCATCTATCAGATCAAAATAATTAAGATTAAACCATATCAAACTTAAACAAATCAGACCAGACAAGACTATAAAATTTAAGTTCAAATAAAACATGAGCAATACATTTTTACCACAAAATGAAGATAGCAAGATAAATTACATGGTAGAAGATCACGGATCATATGAAATGTATCAATTTAAAGTAAATATGCAATTGAATGGCGGTTCTCTCCTCTTATAAACTTTGGTATGGGACAATCTTAGTGGGACTTCCTGAAAAGGTAAAATGGAACAATCTTTGTGGGACGTGCAGTATATAACTCTACTTTTCTTGTAAAAAAACACTACTTTCTTTTTACCCAATAATAGGGAGGTAATAAGACAGAGATTAGAGAAAGTGTTCTAAAAGTCGTCTGCAAGGCGGCAGGGAATCGCCCATGTAAAGAGGAGTGGAAGGAGGCGGTCAATTAGAGCTTTGACCATCAAATGCGTGAAATGGCATAAGTTTAGGCACAAAAGACCAAATCTAAACATAGAAAGATGAGTTAATGCATCAAACCCCCTTGTGATATAGAAATTTGGCGCATTAGTCCAATGTGATTTAAGATGTTTTTACTTGGACTGTAATTTGTTGGTCTGGTCTAGTCTAGTCTGGTCTGATTTGGTTTGGTCTTGTCTGGAACAAATTACAGTCCAAGTAAAAACATCCTTAGAAAATTATCATGCGCATAATCTCTTCTATGAATAAGTTTAATTGTCGGATAAAAGAAAATTAATTAACATTTTTGTATCATTTAGAGATTTTGACAAATTTACTTGCATATTAAATCATAATATTAAGAAAATAGATGTTAAAACTGTAAAATTTATTCACAAAAGAAGTTTTGTACATGAATAATTATAACACGGGGGAGGGAGGTTGACACATTTTTCAAATCACGGGGCTAATGCGCTAAATTTCTATAATGCCAAGATGTAACCTTTTAGATAAAATATATTTTGCAAAGATGTATTTGATGAAATATATTTTGCAAAGATGTATTTGATTAAAATATACTATGTATAATTTAAAGAAATTACTTATATAAGCGCAACACAATGCATGTAAGATAATCTAACACGGAGTAATAACAAGCAACAATAGAGAACAACAATATATGTAGTGTTATTTTGTATTTGCACATTTTATTTGTTTAAAAATTATACGAAGAATATTGATTGAAAAAAATAAAATTTAGGCGAAGTTAAGTATAACTTTTGCATACTAAGCTCTCTGTCCCAAAATAAATTTCTTATGCTCTTTTTTCTATTTAGACATCCTTTAAAAAGTCATATTTTATCTTGCTACCCTCCAATATTATCTCTATTTACTATACTTATTTAACATACAGGGGAGGATCTATGTACGCGCTATGGTAAGCTGAAGCCCAAGGTAACTTAGAAATTTTTCGAATTTTTTAGTGTGAATTTTTTCATTTTTCACATTTAGCCCACCCCTCTAATATTTATGCTTAGTATAATTTCTATTCAGCCCAAGACATCTCAGATTTCTGGATCCGCCCCTGTTAACATATTTACTCATATTTAAATCTCACCCTCCCCATCATAGGCATTTGCCAATGCCCATTCGTTTACTCCATTTCCACATCTTTATATTATGGTCTTGTTTATTTTTTGGCGGATCCGGACCAAACCGTTGCAAAATGCACCGTTTTCATTTGTCTAAAACGGCAGATTGAAGTTCATCTGTTATTAAACAAACAGGTGTTGGGTTCCCTCCTTAATTGAGAAGTTAATGCGAATTCTAGAATAGTGTGGAGATGTCTAGAATTCTCTAGATGTGTGTAGAGAAGCAATGAATGTTCTAGAATATTCCGGCGCTTTCTAGAGAGACATGGAATTATCTAGAAGCGTGTGGAAGAGTGTAGAATATTCTAGAACATTGTGGAACTTTCTAGAGAAGTGTGGAATTCTCTAGAATCGTGCGGAAGTGTGTAAAAGCCTCTAGAACATTCTGGAGCAGTGTGGAGTTCTCTAGATCCTTCTAGAACATTAGAGAAGCTTGTGGATAGTTATTGGAAGAATCTAGAAATGTAGTGATGTATAGAAAATTCTAGAGAAACTTTGAGAAGAGTAGTATAAATAGGGGTGACACTCTTCATTCCTAGGTGAGCCTCTAGAGTGAGAGCCATGAGGAGGTCCTAGAGTGAGAGGCTAGAGAGAGCGTCCTCAAGTGATGAGAGAGAGATCCTTGAGGAGGGCTATTGAGTAAGTGAAGGCCTCCTCTAGAGAGGGATGTGAGAGTGAAGTAGTCTCATACAAAGAGTGATGTGAGTTACTAATTTACTTGTAAAATATCTCTTGTACATTTCAATTGTATAATACAAAGTGATATTGTAAGATTGAATCTTTGTGTTACGAGTGGGTGGGTAAATGTACAAGAGTCCTTTGAGTTGGTGATCCTGGAAGAGGTCGGGGGTCGTGTTTTCCCCAACAACAGGACCTATGTCTCTATATGACGATAGGTTGGTATTTGTCCTTCACCTTCTCCATTTACTTCACTCATCTACATCTTTCTACCTTTATCTTCACTCTTTATCCTTCTCCGCCTTTTCGTTCATCCACATCTAAGATGTCCATCACTACAAAAAATAGCCTTGTAGTCACGGAATTTAGTCACGGATTTGGTCCGTGACTAGTTTAGTCACGGACTAGTCACGGAAATTAAAAAAAAAATCACGGATTGGACCGTGACTACGGCCGAGACTAAGTTTAGTCACGGTCGGATCCGTGACTAAAATCCTCCGATAGGCCCGTTTGCTTTTCCGGCGTGGCTTGTTTTATTCCGGCAATTTAGTCACGGATACATCCGTGACTAAATCCGTGACTAGGAATAAAATTTAATTTTCTACCTCCCAAAAATTAATTCACAACGGCATTCTGTACGGATAAAATTAGTCGCGGACATGTCCGTGACGAATTCCATGACTATGTTGAATAACACGTCATTAACATGGGTTGGACGCGTAATGGACACGATTTTGCTTAGTGACAGACAAATCCGTGACTAAGTCCGTGACTAAATTTTTTATATATGCAGGAGCAACTCATTCAACATAATCACACCAATTCATTTCCAATATATACAGTATTTGTTTGAAAGATCGAAAGATGTAGGGGTGGGCAAAAATATCGAACCGGCATGGTACCGAACCGAACCGATATGGTACCGGACCAAAAAACGGGGTTTGAAACGGATCTCAATTTTTTTGTCCCGAACCGAACCGTACCGATTCTAAACAATGCCATGACCGGTTCTCATAAAATGAGAACCGAAACCGGACCGAACCGGACCGAAGTATGATTTAATTATTTAAATTTACATTTATACCATTATTTTGACTAGTGCCTTTACATTTTCACCGTCTTTGCTAGTTCATAGGAAGCCTGGAATCGGACCGATGTATGGTTTAATCATTTAAATTTGTGCTACTATAATTTATCTGAAATTTATTAATTATGTAATACTACCTTCGTCCCAAATTGATTTGCAAAATTAACTTGTTTTTGTCAAACAGATTTATTTTATTCACTTAACTAGAATGTCAATTTTTAATTATATTTAATTTGGAGCTTGCAACTTTGAAGAAATTTCAATGTAGTTTCTGAATATGTTTATTTTAATTATTACAAATTGAATTATTTATCAATGAAGAGAATTTAACTCTAACATTGGTTGACCAAAAAATATTGACTTTGCATGTCAATTTGGGATGGAATGAGTATGAAAATTGATAAATTGTGTAGATTTTTGGAGGACGACTAAACTTTAATTGTCTCTTAAACACTTGGAAAAAGTGGCATTGTTTGGTATTGGTATGGCATGGTACCGTCCCGTTTCAAAATGAAACCGTACCGAACGGGTTTAGGTCTAAGACCGAACCGAACCGTTTGAATAGTAACGGTACGGGTACGGGTTCGGCCAAATATTGGACCGGACCGGACAGCGCCCACCCCTAGAAAGATGTAGTCTATCTTCTATCAT